TACTAACAGCTCATGTTATGTTTAATTAAAATCATATTCACTAAGTTCATTCACTTATTCATTCATTCATCGAAGACTGTAGTCTGCGAGGACTCTTACAGTCGTGGTAACAGATATATTTATACATCGCTGATACCATTAATTTATAGAGATTGATTGATATAAAAATATTAAAAACAACCTTGAAAGTGGCAGCGTATTTAATAGAGAATTGCATGCAATTCATCAAAAACATCAATCTTTTAAACTGCGATCTCCAACCCGCCTGCCAAGCGTGGAGATTATGGCAAAACCCTTCACTATAGTGGATGAGGCTCATAGTCCAGCAGTGGACTGTAAGGGGCTGTTGATGATGATGAATCATTTATCATACAATAAACAATAGGTTAAAACCTAGAAGATCTGTTAAACAAGATCTAGAAAGGCTAGAAACATAAAATATATTCACTACTGATTAGGACGTCTGGGATTCCATAATAAACATTATTTGCTACCCACACATTAGAAGAAGAATCGTAGCTATCAATCAGCTGGAAACTAATTACAAAGAGACATTTTGTTCCTAAGGTCGAACCAAAACCTAGATCAATGACTCGCAAAAAGTGCCTGTGATTAAGCAGCCTGACGCTAACATTTTACTAACGTAAATTAACCCATTATTCACTCAGCTGCTATTTATTTATTTAATTTAGCATTTAGTCGACAGACTAAGGGTTTATACACATTGCTGCGGGGCGTACGGGGAATGTCCTTTCTATGTTCTCTCCGCGGAAAGACCCGCGATTGCACCACCTGGTTAGCGTAAGTTGACGAGTGGTATAAGAACGATGAGGTACATTTAAAGGTACCAGAGCACGTAACAGTTCTTGGAATTGATAGCAGATGGAGTAGAAAAGCTATCTATAGGCGACCATGGATCAGAAAACAGGTATTACTACCACTCAATGGACCGAATATCTAGCGAATATCGCGAGATGTATCTGGACCGGTCGTTGTAGAAATTATAGAAGGCCCTTTGTCTTTTAGTTCGAAAAGCAAACAAGTTACCATAAAAAAAATTGGATGGACCATTTGAAGTAAGTAAGGCTTATACCAGAGTAAATACAAATGAGTAGGGCATATTCATAGAAACGCACCGAGCGCGGTTTGTATGTGAGCGCGCCAATGCGTATGCGGCGCGCACGCACAGTGCACACACTGAAAAAATTTGGCACAACACCCCGCTAATCCACACTAAACGAATTAGTTGATGATCATGATAATACTAATGTAACTACAGACGCTACACGTACGCCCCGTAGTAATGTGTTTACAACCTAATTCAAGCGCAAAGCGATCGATTGATTAGCTATCTCTGTACAATCTGGGATTGAAATAGGATCTCAGTGCTTCTATGCTTTGTGTTTGTAGGTAAAGGCTAGTTGCAAAGGTAAATTGAAATGGAATGATTGAATGTTGCCACATGTATTAAATTGAAAGTAAGAGTAATTGTAGTCAGCTCTCAGAACTCTCATACAGTAAAATGCTATAGATTTTCTGTCTTTTTTTTTTTCAGGAAGATATAAGTGTATAACACAAAAAACTATTTTAAGTAAGTTTCATACCTACCAAAATGTAGAAAAATGTGTCAATCATAATAAATCTTCGGCCTGATCGTCTATAAAGGGGACTAGTGTTTAACCCAAGTCAATACGTAAAGTTAGGCAAATTAAACGGCACTCGGAACAAATTACGGCAAAACATCGGTAAAAGCCTTGATTAACAACCATAAAATCAAGGTCAGAAGGCTGTATCTCGCAATCGAAGAAACAAGCCATTAATTCACTTTAAAGGAACACTTCAAAGAACGTACGGATTCCGCTTTAATAATGGTTTATGTGGTGGAATTTACATACGCCCTGTTATGTCGCATTGCTGAGGTTGTAGTCAGGTCTAAACCCTTGTAACAATTAGATTAAGATTCGAAATCGATTGAGGAAATCTGTTATTTTGTGGTAGATTACAGACAGATGATTGTACAATAGACATACTTACTGTACGGCTAGCACGAAAAACTTTCGAGTTCAAGACGAGAACGGATTTTCTTACAATTCGATTTCGAATTCGATACGTTCGTATTTGTTTTACTAATCACACTGATGATTGTACGACAAGAGCGCTACCAATAAATATAATAAGTATGTGTACTAAAGAGCATTCTTATTAGAATAAAATGAATTAATTTCGTTATGACAAGAGTCTAGCCAGTGGTTCGCCTACTTTATTCACAGGTCGCGGGTAAATGTGTGTATCTTGTCGTTTGCTTTCTCTCTATCTTATGTTTGCATGTATTTTCAATTAAAAATACATACAAAACTCCAAGTTGTTGTCATATAATCAACAATGTTTATATCGTAGTCTGGTACTTTCACTTCAAACTTTGCTTAGTTTGTGCCTATATTTCGCTTCATAAAATATTTTTCACCTTCCACGATCAACAAAGTGCAATGTTCTTAGCGCGCAAATGTCACAAAGCGACCGCTTATAACCGCTTTGAAATTGCCTTATCGACTTCATCATTCGATCTGTGTGACCATTAGGCGCACAATGCATCTAAATATAGCTTCTTGCAGCAGGATTTGCCGCGGCCTTGGCGGCAGCTGCAATGCGGTGCTACTGGATCACGCCATTGTTTGGCTTGCAAGCTTAAATAAATTCACTATCTTGCCTTCAGGTATTTGGTGAAATGGTTATTTTAGGGATCCGAAGCACTTCTCCGTCTGTTTTTTAAGACAACACATTTTTTACATTTGTTTCTTTTAAGCGAAAGTATACCTAGGAGGTGCGCTGCTCACAACTTTAATTAGATCGTCAGTCCATCGAGTTGGCAGGTCTGCCTACATATAGGTACATTACATCTAGGTACTAGTCCTTGCTCGCACAGAAAAATGGAGACATGTAATTTAAGTACTTAATTTTTAGAAATATTAATTATAAGTAGGTACCTAAAGAAATGTCCAACTGAGAAAGGTGGACGACATTTCCTAAATTGTAAGATGGGTAAAAGTGGGGAGTAAGGAAGTGTATAGAGATGAATAATGATACGGAACCGTCAGCTTTAGGGTACGACTCGCACTTGGCCGGTTTTTTAAATTATAGTAATCACAGTAACTGTGTGCTGCAAGGTTTCCCAATTGCAGGTAGTCCTTGAACTTGGCGTTATTTGAGAACTTGGAGCGATTATAATTGCTAATGCCCAAAGGCACGCCACTTAAACAAAACTTGAAATTACCTGCCAGTGATCGGTATAATATAAGCAGCATAATAAAATTGTCCAAAACGAAGCGCTAGCCCGCACCCCGAAGTATGGGCAACGCACGGGTGGGGGAAGAAGAAATTAATCGAGAAGGTGTTCGTTCACAATATTACGTCTTATAAAGTGTACTTGCGCCAATTATAAGTTTCTTAGGCTGGGTTACACCATCTTACTTTAAATTTGACAAACGTCAAAAATCTGTCAAACTCCATATAAAAAACAACGGTTATCGTCATAGTTACGGTCAAACTTAGGTGGTGCAACTCAGGCTTAGTTATGTTTAATTTTAATTTCAAACGGGATTATAAGAGTGTTAATGGATTTTTAAACCCAAAAACTTTTAATTTTATTTTAGAAGTTCAATAGTTAGGCCTAGGATGCGCGCCACGATAAGCGTTTATCACGCAATTATCGATTTTATGTGATAAGCCCATACATTTGTCGTCTAAAATCATCGATAAGATTTTATCACGGCGCGCACCCTAGCCCGGCTGGTGCATCAATACTTGTAATTTTAATTCGCATTTAAAATAAAAGCCAATAATTGTATGTGCATGCCAGTCAACAATTTATGTTGAGAAATTATTAAACCAGCTTTTTACTGCATAACATTTTGAGCACGACACGGAAAGTAATATTATTATGAATTTAAAAACTCGTAATATCTGCATAGACTGCATACAGTTCAATTTTCTTTATTATCTACTAGCTGTGCCCGCGACTTCGTCCGCGTGGAATAATGACTTTATTTGTGTTGAGAAACGGTAAATACATGAGCTTTATGCCCGTTTTCACCATCAATCCCTTATTTTTAAGTGACCCCTATGGTAACACGTAACAGGAATTTTTTCATATGGTTCACTTAAAAATTAGGGATTGATGGTGAAAACGGGCATTAATCATTTAATTTTAAGTGGCAAATGCATATCATTATAAACAGAAACTTCTTACACCGCAATAAAGGGTGTAAAAACATACTACGAAACTTGAAACTGTTTTTATACATTCAGAGTATTATAATAATCGATAGTACGCGATTGGATTTTAAACAAAACACTAGCTAAGTTAAGTCAGTCATTTAAAAGGGTAAATGAAAAATATGATAGTATCTAAAGATTGCCGCACATCGCGTGACAAATTATGCACGTGACTCCATACCATACATCAGAAGTGGGAATTCATGCAAATATCAGATACATAATGGAATAATACGTTGACTTATATGCAGATTTTTATAATATAATACACCATTTGGCTAATTTTAAAAAGACTCTATGTACCTTGAGATTAGGTATGGATTTTATTGTGATTTTGATATTGCTACTCCAGTTTTACCGGAATTATTGAAAAAGCAAAGTTTGTCTTTGTCGAAATTATTGTCATATTATTATGGTGCCTATAGAAGTCAATCCAAAAAGGATCATTTAACTCCGGCACCGGATATTTTTTCACGACAAACCATTATGCAGCCTAGAAATTGAAGACCTAACAAAATATAGTACCATACTCACTTACTCTGAAATAAATCAAAGCACTTGAAAAGTAGGGTTATTCGTTTGAAAAATTACAAATAACAAGACTAGTAACAATATAAATACCTCCAGTACCTTAAGATATTCGTACCATAGGTTACTTAAGTAATATGTATGGCACGTACGGTACTGATATAATTTGCGTTAAATGATAGCGTTAAAACTATAATTACCGAGCATGCTGAGGGCGCGGAATGAGCACCACACGTCCCTCCGGCCGTCGCCGCCGCCAAAGCACTGCTTCCAGGCACCTGTCAAGACAATAATACCCTTAAAAACAAATCTAACCTTAACTGCAAGGCAATAAAGATTAATTTAGAGAAAACTAAATACATCTCATTAACAAGCTAAAACGTAAAAAGGTTACTGAATAAAATAGCTCGTCAGTCATTTTAGTAATAATACCTACAAAGAAGAAGTCTACTTAGATGCCTCTAAACTATCTAAAAGATTACTCTTACATCCAATAGCAGCCGGTTCTACAGAAATATTATTTTGAAGGGCATTACAATGAGGATAAAGGTATTATTATGCTGGAAATAAAAGAATAGTACGTCTTGGGATTCGACTTGGATGTAGCAATTTGGGATATGAATAATAACACACCATTTTGTTTTCCTATAGCGACGTTGGAACATGGGAGGGACACTGGTCCACCTGCCAAAATTATATTTTGTATGGAAATTGTGAAAATGTTTCAATAATATCATCTAACATTGATGTAAATTTACTAGTCTTTTCATTTTACGCAAACAAATGAACTGTGAAACCCTTGATTTTCAATCACAGATAAGAATTATGTAGAGATGGCATTTAGCTCATAACAATGGAGCCAATACGCAGTAAAACAAGAGAGTAAATAAAGATGAAAAATTTAAATTAACTTGTAATGTTAACACAATTTATATCCATTATAAATAAATGTGAACATACGAGAACATAATTTGAATAATCTTGTTTGCAGTGTGCCTACCATGAGTTTACGTTAGGTGAGCTCGCTAGCGAATACGTCAAAAAATTCTATGAAGATTTTATTTCTTGAAAGTAGCCGCTAGGGGCACTGCACAATATGTCATACATTTAAGTGTCATTTTTTTACGCAGTCGCTAGCGAGCACACCTAACGTAAACTCATGGTAGGCACACAGTTTTTTCAGGAATTTTTATTGGAAAATACTTGTAGATTTATTAAAGCATGAATTTCAATAACATCTAATAAAGATTTCGTTGAAATGTTCCTAGAATATTCTTTTGAAATGAATTTACTAGTATTAAAATAGGGATGATATTTATAAATAAATATAATTATGTTAACTAGTTGCTAGTAGGTAATACAAAAGTACTGCTTTATTTGTTTCAGAAATGAAACGTTTGAAAAAATAAGCACGTAGGTACTTTAAAGCCGAACCCGATTCAACAACGTAAGCCTTTGTGAAATACGTCACGAGACTTTGTAGGCCTACCTACTATTTGCATAATATTATGCTTAAAAACACTTTATTTTTGTTTCAGTGAATTTTATCAGTAACTAAAGATTGTATGTATTATGTACCTTTAACTGTTCCTGCTTATAATCTGGCTGATAAGGGAGTAGCATCCTGATCTTGCCCCAACGGTTGAAGAACAACGCTATGGCCCCGATCCACACTATCAGCACCAACACTACGATGCCGATCTCCACCCCTCGTATCTGTACAAAATAAATGAAAATTATAAATTGTCTTTTTATAAAGACTATATTCATACAGACTCATTAAGCGTTACTTGCCAGGAATTTCTGCTAACTTTAATTATTAAAATGATCTTAATAAAGAGTAAATAAAAACAATAAATTTAGAAAGGCCAAATCAAAATTCTTCATTTACGTTTTAACAAACAAAAGTGTTTTCATTTCTCTATGTATTATTTTAGTTTAATAAGCCCACTGAAACGGAAAAAATCTGTTTCAGCTACATACTAACTACCTCTATTTTATTCAATTAAGAACAGAACACTACGTTGTAAAGTTTCTATACATTCATGCTTTTAGATATAAATATCTATTACATATAATTCTGCTGGTAGGGTAAAAAGATTATGAGACATGTAGAGGCTCCTTAAGAGCAAAATGACGATTTGTAAGAACTATTTATTAGTCTAAACAAATAAAGAAATTTTGACTTTTAGACTTTTTTTTTTACTAAATCAAATAGGTATGTAGAATCTCAAATATGCAGTGAAGCGCTTCTCAATTCTAAGTAAAAGACATGGCCAAGCTTTAGATTCGTAGAAATGGTTCAAGTTAGCTGATATGTTGTTAACTCCGATTGTAATAGTTATATCCAGGTCGTAATAAAGGCTTACTACGTAATATGGGATTAGTACAAACGAGAACTGTTGTACATCCTACCGTTCCTTATGTCTGAAGGAAAAAGGGTCACAATCGATCGCTTATTTTTGTCTCCATGTACAGTCGACAGCGCATCAAGCTAAATACTGTGGTATCTTATGTACTGGTAATAGGTACTGTTTTACCACAAAAATGTACATTCTGATGTGCTCTATTTAGGCTTCGTGACGTAGTTGAATGACACGACAAAATGAGTATGGCAGGTATCATTAAGGGAGGGATCAAAGTAAATGTTATTAGCAAGAATTATAGCGTCAAGAGCAGTATACTTTAATGATATCAATACGCCTCCGTTTTCTTAAGCCTTATTCACACTGTGAAAAGCTTTTAAGCAACATGACATCATCATCATCATCATCTCAGCCATAGGACGTCCACTGCTGAACATTGGCCTCCCCCAATGCTTTCCATGTTACCCGGTTGGTAGCGGCCTGCGTCCAGCGCTTTCCTGCTACTTTTATAATGTCCTCATGTCATGTCATTTCAACATGACATAATACTCATAAAACCATTGCTACATGATCTAAATTATACAGGTACCGGCATTTTTCGGTTGGCAATTTCGATTTTGATTACTTTTTCCCGGACATGTAGATATGTCTAATTTTACTTGAAATTTCTATCGCCACATATTTTGTTCCTAAATAGACACAGTTTGCACTAGTTTAAGAGCCAAAGTCCCAATATTATACTACATTGTATTTACATCAATGAAGGTACTTATTTTCTATTTATTTAAATATTTACCGTGGGAAATGTTGGCGAAGGGTCTGGAGGGGCGACGGAGGAACGCGGGGTGCCCGCTAGACCCCCGTCCTGCTGCGGCGATGTCCGCGGAGGCTCTGTGAACATCAAATTGATATTAGTATAGTTTAGCATCAGTTCAGTACCTCTCTAATTGACTAGAAGCAATTGTAAAAGACAGTCAATAAAAAAAATCTTGGCATTACTTTATTGGTTGGTATACCTTACAAATTTCCGAGACTGGAAAAAAAATCTTAGCTACCTATTTCAAAATAGCATAGTTAATGTTCTATTTGGTTTAAACAATGTCTGTAGCTTAACTAGAAACAATTTTCGATTTCAAAAGTCTATATTAATACAAGCTCTATCAATAGCTCCCTGAAACTTTGAACTTTGTGATTAAAAAGGCTTTTTCATTTCCCTCAGTGTTTCTTAGAATCTAGGCGTAGTAAAGCGTCACAATACCTAAAACAAATGACTGTTATCAAGTGTACTTGTTAATGACCGTTCGCTTCAGAGCGACTTTCACAAAATGTACTATTTGGGAGGCCCTTAGGGGTTCCAAGTAGACATGAAACGAGCATTAGGAAGTAATGTACCAGTTTCTTCGAACTAGTACACCATTAGGCTTTCAGTATACTGAACCCTTTAGACCCTCTGTGCTTTCAAACAAATAACATCATGTCTTCTTCAACGAATTGAACCCTAATAATACTGATAGCTGTACCTAAGTATCTGCGTCTCTATTTGTTTAATCAACTGCCTCAATTTGAAAGATTTGATTATATTTATTTCATGATTAAGCGCCATAAGTGTATATTTTTTAAATTAGTAGAGTAACTGCTATATTAGATTGATGACCATCCTTCCCCCTAAACTTTGACGTTTAATCTAATAGCAACAATATAATCTCCAACATGTTGCAGTTAGAAATACCTACTACAAAGTATTCCAATATTGCACAAGTTATTCAAAAATCAACCAAAACTTATCCGCCGGTGAGCACAGTTCTCCTTGCATAATGGATGCTCTACTGCCTCTAGTTTGGAGCCAGTTTTCTCATAATTAGTCAGGTAATTTGCGTAAGCTGCTCTAACTTACGCCTCTCTGAGCGTGTCAAATTATATCACAAGTTTACGGTTTATTCACCTTCCATTTGATGGATTAACATAAGCGATATCTGGGGGTGTAGTGTGAGTTTACTTCAAAAGCATTCGTATCGACTGCAAAAAGTGACATTAAATGTATGACGGATTGTACAGTGTACAGCGCCCCCTATCGGAAACTTTCAAGAAATAGAATCTTCATATTTTTTTAACGCAGTCGATATCGAATGCGTTTACGTAAACACACTACGCTCCCTGAACTAACGTTGACTACTCGATGTATGTTTTGTTGATGTTATTAGACTTGTTCTAGTATCATTATCATCAGGTTGTTTAGTCTACAATGCAGGAGCAAGACTTTCTCTAATTTACCATAGACAAATGCAGAATTTGATCTACACTCCCAACGCAGACCTCAAGAATTGGAGAGGACTCATGTTCGCACATTTAATTTTGTCCCATTAATCTCATTTTTCAGTCCTTCAAGGTCCTATTCTGCTCTACGAGAACCACATGGCTAGCATCGTGTATGCTTTAACCACTTCACCGGCGCGATCATAGGCCAATGACAGGTCGCGCGACCCTTGACAGTCCATGACAGTCTGCGCGACCTTGTCATTGGCCTATGATCGCGCCGACGATGGCGATCTGCACGCGTTGGTTTAAGTATAAAAATCCTTGTTCAAACATATTATAAACATACATAATAATAACAAACTAAATAGCTTGTATTACATAGAGGGTCCTATTCTATTTCAACCAAACACAAAACTCGTTCAGGTAGAAACAACTCCCTGTTGGATATATGGACGAATAATTAAAATAACATAAAGCTTCTTCAAATAAAACTACATAAATGACCTGCACCACCCAACGGCCACTCCACAAAGACCTAATAAACTAAATGTCGAGTCCAATTTTAGAAATCGGTCAAAACACTCGACCATTGCACTTTGGGATGGACTGAATATTCTGGTAGCGTCTGGCGATACTGGAACGAGAATGAAACGATATAAAATACGTGAAGCGAAAAAACTGAAAAGCTTTTTGAAGGATAATAAGCAGTGAGCTTTAAAATGTAGCTAAGTGTGATAATAACTACAAACTACTCCTAGAGTCTAATATTATTACTCGAGACAACGGTGTTTTTTTGTTCACGACTAAAAGATGCCGACGTGGAGTGATATAGCTCTCTTTTCGTTCTTCGTTTGTAACTCTAAATTAGTGAGTAGATGTGCTGCATATTAGACCTTATCATCACTAGCACCATGTGTGATTGAGACCAAACGTAGACTAGAATAAAAAAGCGTTACATCATATTGGCTAAATAAAATACCATTTTGCATAACGCACTCTACTGGAACTAACGAAGTTAGGAAAACGCTTACGTTGTAACCATATCGCCTAAGAAATGTTCCGTTCAATTATCAGAATAACCCTCTTGTTTAGATGCGCTTAACATTATTTTACTGCACCCGGAAGATCAAACGAGCAAACGCTGGTTGGAGAGCGGCCAACATTGCGCCCGAGCAAATGTGTTTGTAAAGGTGAGATTCCACTGCAAAAGCTATTCAGAGATTCGTCCCTATAAGATTTTGAAGAATCGCAGATACGAAAATAAAAAGAAAGTTGATCATATTCGTTGCGCCCGAGCCCGAGCTAGAATCACTTCACTAGAAGATATTGAAGAAGCACAAATGCGGAAAAATATAAATCTGATTCACTGAAAGATTCACTGTGGAGCAAATGTGTTTTTAAAGGTGAGATTCCACTGTTATGTGCTTCAGATCAGTGCCCATCGCGATTCGCAAATGAATCTTCGAATTATGAATTAAAGAAGCGCCGAATATGGACAGCAGCACATGAAAGTCTCTGAAACATATTTAGTCTAAGTATTATTAATAGGTATTAATAGAGCAAAAAAGAGTACCTAATGCAGGGCATAGGCTAGATACACGGGGATAGTTAATGTTAGAAACACTTCAGCGATAAAAAGAAATTAGGTAAATAAAATATGTTAAATAACATTATGGCGATAAAAATCATAGCCCAACGGCGTCACTGTGGCATTGGCAATTCAAGGGTCGGTATTTCAAACCCCCGTCGTCAGGTGAACTAAAATAAAACAAATTGGAGTACTCTATACTCTGGTAGGTCAAGACTAAAAGTCTTGTAGGTATTATTTTCGATGCTCTCATAAGGCGCAAAGTTCGAAATGAAAATTAAATCTGTTCGCAAACTTTCGGTGGAGTTTTACCTTTACAACTGTTGAGCTACTTTAACTGAATGCGGGAGAAAGACGATGAAAGATAATGGGATGATAGCGAGCGTTATTATTGGACTATCAATTTCATTGCGACATAATCGTATCTTGGTTTTGATTGTTATAGTTTTTTAGGACACCTGTCACCTGTTATTTGCAAGAATATACGAGAATGAAATAAATGAAGCCTTAAACGAGTATTTGTGGAACTGATATCGTATTCACTAGAGGACTATGCATTGTTGCTAGACGTTTCAGCAATAGACGAAATATTAAAATTCCAACGTTAAGGCTGGGTTGCACCATCTTACTTTAACATTGACAAACGTCAAAAATCTGTCAAATTCCATACAATAACCACCGGTTTATTAGTTTAACAAAGTTCAGAACGTCAAATTCTTACGCATGCACCATTGGACTGACGTCACATGTTTCATAATGATTTGCTCTAACTTAGGAACGATTAATAAAGAGGAAAGATTAGATCGTTTATTTATTTGTATTGAATAGGCTCCGAAATTACTAGACCAAATTGAAAAATTATTTTACCATTTCTGAGATCCTACGCTAATGGGCATAGGGGGTACGAAATTCGCCGGATCAGCTTGTGTTCAATATTGTTAAAGCTAATAAATGTCGAATTTGGTTAGTCCATTACAGGATAGTAACTGTAGATGTCACACGGTTACAAGGTCAACGACCTTTCAGTTAAATAAACTTTGTCAAGCTTCGTTGAGGTTTACAACGATATCCTTTTACAAAAGTTATTTACAAACAACGTATTAAATTGCCTTCACAAACCAAAAAATTCGTTTAGTATCAAATTCTTTACTTATACTTATATTAATCTAATTTAAAAAATCATGTGCATAAATAATCAAAAAGTTATGATATTATGACAAACTGACAATCAGAAGTTATAGACAGTGCAAGCAAAAATTATAATGAAGTATTTTATCATATTTCCACGATTTCTTTAAGTTCAGATTTATTTTGTCTACAACTTTGTTGCACTTACTGAACATTAAACATTATTATTTATACTAACGCCCGTATTCGCAAACGATGCTTGCTTAAGTGAAGCAGCAAAACGAACGCACAGCGTTGAATCTGCTCTATGATTGGTTCGTGTGTCACCCTGTGCGTCCACGCGCACTGTGAGACCTCAAAGTAATGTTTGTAAATACGGGCGTAAAGATACTTCTTACGTGCCTAATTATTATTTTGATAAGACGCTTAAATCAATATTTTGAGCAGATTTGTGAGTTAATTAAAATCTTCACGGTAGAAACTCGACGGGAAGTCTCAAACTTAAAGTTATGACATCTTATTTGGTTAAAAAAGCTGCTATTTCGCAACGAAAATGTGTAGTCTAATATGTGGCAGACTATACTTACCTACGAGTAAATACTGTTTATACGGTTTTAAAAATGAGTTGCGGCGTATTTCGTAACTGTCACAGCCCCCCAGAGGCACAGAATAATTAATAAGGACCGTTAACAGGTTATAAAAGCCCTACTTTTGGTGTTAGTAAAAACGCTACATTTTGTGACATCACTATTTTTGTCTATAGACGGTGTTTCACTATTTGCTGATAAAGTCTTATAATGCCTATTAAGAATTCTGTCAGATAGAATCTGAGAAAGATACTCGTAAAGATAAAGATAATATAATTGTCCTCATGCCATTTCCTAATAAAGTTTGTTTTCTAATTTATTTCCAAAATATG